TTCTATCTCCCTAGTGATAGTGGAAGATATTATAAATATGATGTATTAATATCTTTATTTTCTTTACTGCTTTCTTTATTTCTTAGTTTGAGGTCAATGATTAACGATTCACAATTTGCGACATATGGTATATACATGAGGGTTTCCTTGTTTGAATTATTTTGCTCGACGTACTACATCTCGTGTTGTGGATTTCTAATTATTGATTTTATTTAGATTGTTTATCTCTATATTAGTATTAATGTTTAGGCACCTACAATTTGAGACATATGGTATATACATGAGGGTTTTCTTATTTGGATTATTTCGCTCAAAGTACTACATATCATGTTGTAGGTTTCTAAATATTAATTTCACTTAGATACGGGGAAAATAATCTAGGTAGACTATACTTAATAGATATAGCCTTCACTCCACCTAGTAGCCTTCCCCTGGGGGCGGATGGAGGTAATCTTGCTGTAGCGTTTTGACGCTCTTGTTATTGTTCTTTTTATTATTGTTTTTTCCAGGCAGTACAGAGGTACGAAGAGCTGCAAGATGACGGAGTTCTTGCATAGTCACTGTCACATGAATTTGAGAGACTCCACAGTAGATTTTTTTATTTATTTTATTCAGATATTAGAGTTTCATTCTTATATTTTAAAGGGAGTGTGCCTTAGTACAATTCTAGTTGATTTATATTGACATTCTCATTATTTCAGTTATCAGATGGGTTACAATTGAGACATGATTCTTTTATTTATGAGATGTCTTTTCTATATCATGTTTTTTGCGTTCATTTCCATATTTTGTCTATTTTGTACCTGTACTTTTATTTGATTCCACTAGAGGATATTATCGTGATTGGTGAAATGTGTTGATGTATAGTGTGGGTGCATGACAGGTTTGACATCTCTGCGTTCACTTTGGACTGCAACCTTGTGTAAAATCAGGGGCGTCACAGCAATTAAGAGTAACCATTCTTTCCAAAATGAGTTTTTATAAAAAAAAATTTACACTCAAACCCCTCACACTCTATCCCTATTTATAGCCTACAGTAAGCAATAAGAACCATTGGATTTTACTTAGGCTCCAAGAATTAAATCTTAGCCATAAAATAAGTTTGTTATAAACCAATTGGTCAACAACCGATTGAAATTTCAAAATTTTGAAAGTGCAGTTAGCTCTGTCTCATCGAGGTAGGCGATCTTCATATATTATATATTAAATTCTGCCTTTCGGATTGAGAGATATCGCTCTTTTTTGTGGCTAGTAATCTTGAGCATAATTTTGACTTGATTTATATTCATATTGATCCTTATTTCTTCAGCTTCTATAGATTTCTTGGCTTGATCTCGGGCTACAATAAAAGGTTAAAAATGAGAAAATTTGAGTTCTTTTTGAGCTTTTATTCATTAATTCTTCATTAGTCTACAAATTAATATAAAACATGTTAATTAGTGACATTTTTATTTAAACAAAATAGATTATGATGGTATAAAAACGTAATAAAAATGTGATTATCAGTACTCCACTTCAACTCCTTAAGTTTCCTCCACTTTCTAACTATCGTTGTCTCCTCAATTACATGGTACTCGCAATTCATAGGAGGGGGGGGGGGGAGAGAAGAGAGAGAGAAGAGAGAGAGAGAGAAAGAGAGAGATGATTTGGCACCATGCGCCTTCCAATACGTCCTCTTCCACTGGCACTTGTCATTTTTTCCAGATTCTTGGCAACTCTAAGCAAAGCTTGATCTAGGTCTTGTTGTATCAAGACCGCCTCCATCCTTTTTCACCAAAAGCCCGAATATCTCTTTCCATCAAACTTTTCAATATCAATCTTCATCATCGAAGAACTTTTTGATTCTATGTCACAAAAATCGCACCTCTCGTCAAAGACAAGTCTGATCTAATAAAAATTTAGCTCTAATACCAATTGTTGGTATCATCTGATGCTCTGATACCAATTATTGGCGCACACCATCCGCAACACGACACCAACTGTTGTCCATCGATTGGTGATCTATGCGAAAGCGTAGCCTACAAAAGCATCATCGAACACCAATCTATCTTTTCTTTCTTTGAAGACCGACGGATCACTTGACAATGTGGAAACTCCGAGAAACTACAAGTTTTAACAAAAGGGAAAGTAATAATTTGCAAATGATAGATCAAAAGCACAGAGACATGAAATTTACATGGTTCAACAATCGCGTGCGTCTACAGGAATAGCTTTGAGTCTTCTTTATATCAAAGATTTACAAGATACAATCTATTATTATGATCTCTAAACATTTCACAGGAAATCATCTCTCAATCTCACAAAACCAATATTCAAAGCTTAGATTTCTCTCTTTAGTTCTCTCCCTACTTCTTTATTACAATGTACAACTCTTCTTCGCTTGGTTCAACAAACCCTATACTTGGAATATCCCTTTTATAGGCCCAAAACTAAAATATAACCCAATAGGAGTCCTAACACAAATAAAATTCTAAATTATTTCAAAACTAGAAACTTCCCGAACCTGCCCGTAATCAATCTGATCGACCGGTCTGACCGGTAGGGGCACCTACCGGCTAGTTCCACTGCCACCATCGTGGTTTGCCATGTTTCGCTTCCCACTATATTTCTGATTCTTCCGTTGTCTTCTAGGGTAAGACTATTTCCAAATATCTCATATGCAAGTGAATTGTTTATCTAAGGGGATTTTATTGTTGTTGTGAAGACAGTATATGAGGACTAAACTGAGAACGTTCCAAGCTTTCCAACCAACATGTGGAGGCATTGAAGAAGATGTGAACTCCATCTTCTGAAGGAAAGGAAACCACAAGCAACCATTTAGAGCAAGTCATTCACTTTTATTCCCAGCAAGAAGGATGGGTCAGATATCTAGTTAAAGGATAGATATTCTCTTTAGAATTCATTTGCACTTAATAAACACCCAAATAAGATGCTTAATATGTAATTCCAAACAAAGACCTCAATAAATTCGTTACTATTTTATAATGTAGTCGACAATGTTGTGAAAATTCGCGATAGGCGCAAATATTATCTCCGGATTTCTCACCTAGATCTCTTCCATCTTCCTACACCAATCAATTGATCACTTGACAATAAGGTAACATTTAGAAAAGCAATATTCGAGCAAAAGAGAAAAACAATGAATTTTGATTTTCTCCACTACTAGAAAGCAGTGGAGATGCCACTAATTCTAATCACAATTGTTGATTATCTAATTGGTGAATGTGAATAATTCCAGATCTAACACTCACTATATGTCTATGAATTGTGTTCATTCCTAATTTGCACTAAAAAATCTCAATCATCCATTAACTAATCAATTATTGTGATATAGTGGTTCCTCCACTATACTTTTTGTAATGGAAATGATCCAAATCCAAAAGCACTATACCAAAGAAAAGTTAAATCAATACGCAAGACATGAGGATTTATGTGATTTAGCAATCATCTTTATCCATAAGGATAGATGAGTCTTCTTTATTTTAGAGATCACAAGATATAATTTTTCTTGCATTTTTCAAAAGAACCTGCAAAAAGTTCTCTCTCAATCTCACTGAAGATCCCTCATAAACCCTACAATTCTCTTCTTTATTTCTCACTACCACTCCTTACAATATGCAACTCTCTCTTGGCTTAATCCGTCAACCCTACACCTAGAACACTTGTATTTGCAGGATTAGAAGTAGATACAATACCAACTAGGACTCCCAATCCAAAAATAATTTCAGAAAACACAAAGCAACTTGAAAACGGTCTAATGACAGGTCGGTGTACCACCCGAGCACCCAATTGGTTGCACCGGTCAGCGCACCTTCCAGTCCCTGGTTGTTTTGGCTTCTGCTTTTGACTCTTTCGATGTCTCTCGGACTGAAATACAAGGCTATTTCCAACATGATGACGGTAGAGACAAGAATGAGCATAAGCACAATAGTGCTGTGGGCTAGTAGCTTCTGATTTGGTCGGATATTAACAGTACAGATGGTTAAGCATATGAAGATCACAATTCTAAGATAAGCTCGAGCAAAACTAAGGTCAAGAAATGAGCAGACTGTATAAATTGTCACCGAATACGGTATAAGTCAGATTCAGACACAAGTCAGTGAACGAGATTAAACATGTTTAACTTAATTACCTCTCAATAAAAATATGACGACAACAAGAAGAAATGCTCCAAGATGTTTGAGTTTATCCGATAGAACAAAGATAAAATTCATCGGTTTACTTCTCCCATCCCGATAAAAGGATATATAGTTTGAGTTAAGGCCTGGCCATCCATCGTAACGCACTTGAGAATACAAGGGCATGTTTGGGGAACTTGGCTTATAATTCACAAATGAATTATAAGGCAAATGGATTATAAGCCAAAGTGTTTGGTAAACAAATAAATTATAAGCCGCTAACAAGAGAGTGTTTGGCAAATTAGTGGATTACAATCCATCATTGTTGTTAAATAACCAAAAAGTATATAGCTCTAAATTTGAACATTTGAATAGACTTTGGAATTATCAACAATGTAGAGGGTAAATTTGTCAATTACTTGGTGAAACTTAGTAGCTTATAAGTCATTAAAAAAAACTGGGTAGAAGAGATTATTTTTTTTTTAGCTTATAAACCAACATAAGTCTGGTTGCCCATCATGCTTTAGTGGCTTATAAGCCAAAAAGTGACTTATAAGCCGCATTGACTGCTTCCCGATCATACTCTTAGTTCGTACCGTAAAATGTAAAATGTCTTGAAGTCCTTGCATGACTGGAACTCATTTTCTAAAATTAGCAAAAGAATCTCGTCTCAGAATTAGTTCAAGCAGGCGGAGTAATTCTGATTTGACACCGCGATGAACTAATTGGATCAATAATGGCACCGAATCCCAATAAATTTCCATCTAACCCCCCTTCAATTCTCTCAACGCTCCCTCGCTCATCACCCTCAGCTGCTACTGATCCTTCCTATAAATATCGCACCTTATAATCCTCCTCCTAACCCAAATCAACTACCAAAAATAATTAACACTAAAAATGGTGAACTTGGTCGAAGCAGGACAATCCCTGCTTCATGCCATACTGAAGCTCGCCGGACTCCGGCAGCAAACCATCATGATCGAACCCGGCACAGTCATGAGCTTCTGGGCACCAAAGAAAACCAACAGCAAGCACATAAAAGAGAAGCCAGCAGTCATTCTAGTGCACGGCTTCGCAGCTGATGGCATTATGACCTGGCTGTTTCAATTCGGCACCTTAACATCCAAATACTCCGTCTACATCCCCGACCTCCTCTTCTTCGGAGGATCCACCACTAACAGCAATGACCGATCGCCGAATTTTCAAGCTGAGTGCTTGATAAAGGCACTGGATGAGCTCGGTGTGGAGGAGTGCACAGTGGTGGGGTTTAGTTATGGTGGGATGGTAGCGTTTAAAATGGCAGAGGCTCGGCCAGAAATTGATGAAGGCTTTGTTGTGTCAGATCATGATTGCGATGACTGATTCAATCATGATTGTCATGTTTGAAGAGGTGGGGTTCAAGTCATACGCGAGTCTACTGCCGAGAGCTGTTAAGGGGCTCGAAGATCAATTGTGGTCCGCGATTATAAGAAAACTGGTGCCAGAACTTTTCACACAGGGACTACCTAAAGTTATTTTATATTGTGCCAAGTCTGCTTAGTTAATAGTCACATCAAATCTGTTTTCCGAGCTTCGCGTCTGACAGCTGTGCTCGGCGTGTAAATAAGTAATGTCAGCAATAGGAAGAAGGGTGAAACCTGCTGAGGATGCGGTAAATTCAGAAGCGAGATGCCGAAGTTCCCAATTTTCCCCAGGTATACAGTATTAATTATTAGCATTGTTTCCTGGCAACGGGGGAAATTTATTAGGAGAACCGAACAACACCCCGAAACTTTATCCTCGACAGATACACGAAACACCTCCCATCGTTACTTGTCGTCTAACTGAGTTGTGTTTGGTAACCAAAATGTGTTTTTTTGTAGTGTTTTTTTTAAAAACACATAACATGGTGTTTATTTTTCAAACGTGTTTTCAAACACCATTTATAATTATTATTTATATTACGGCGGCGCGGCGGGCTCCCGCGGCGACGACCGACGACGCGCGTCGCGAGCGCAGCAGGCGGGCGCCGGCGGGCCGGCGGGCGGCGACAGGTCGGCAGATGCCGCGCGCGGCCGACCATTACTTGCGTTCGAAGGGCGCGACGACCACCGGAGCGGCTGCGGCACGACAGCGGCCGAAAGACAGCCTTAAAGCGCGGGTGGCGGTGGCGCGAGCGGCGCGAACGGCTGACCGTGGCAGCTCTCGCTGCGCGCGATCAGCGGAACGGCAACGCGCAAACGCTAGCGGCGTGCGGGTGCGGCAGCAGTGGCAACGGCGGTGGTTGAAGGCGGCGCAGACCGCGACGAGCAGGCGGCGGGCGGCGACGGCGACGTGGCCGAGCGGCAGCTGGCGGCGATGCGACGGGCTTATCGTGGCGGCGGGCGGGTGCGCCAGGCGGCGGCAGCGCGGTGCGGAAGGACGGCGGCACGCGGTGGTGGCGGTGGACGCGGACGGTCGACGAGCAGCGGCGACGAACGGCCGCCAAAAAAAAAGCCAAACGCGGGCGGCGACGGCGGCTGCGGGGCTAAGGGTGGCGGCGGGAGGTGCGGATGCAGTCCGGGCAGCGCGGTGATTGGCGCCGGAGCGACGGGCTGGCCGACGAGCAGCAGTGGCAGCGTTTGTTCTTGTGGCGGCGACGGGCGGCCGGCTTAGATGAAAAAACGGAATCTCAAAAACACAGTTTTTTTTTATGGTTTTAAAAAAACGTTTATTTTTGATTTTTTAAAGGGTCAAGTCAAAAATGCCGCCCCTTTGCCAAAACACGTTTATTGTTTTTTTTTTTTGAAAAAAAACGAAAACGGCAAAAACTCATGGTTCCAAACGCTCCTTGAACGAAAACTTTTCATTTTAAAGCAATGCATCCCTGCTACTAGTTTTGGATGCAATACGTAAATTGTTACAATGCGATCATCTTTTACTGTATATATAATGATGTTGATAACCCATTTTCCCCCCTTGTCAGACGATACTTTTACAATGGGGTGAGAATGACAATATATTCCAACATGACTAGCACAGAACCATGTTGTGTAATTAACCCCAGAACATTCGTCGTCCGTCCCTTCCATTAACATCTCATCGTGTCAGAACATACTTCTGTATGAAACTTAAAATTGTAATAAAAATTTCAACTCAGAGAAATAATTTGCATGTAAATCAGTCCAACTAGGAAGAAATTCTACCAACTGCGAGGAATAAGAATGCTGGTCACCTGGTTCATTCTAACCTGCCTGTGTATACAACCGCCATGACTCAAAAGCCTCGCTCTCGCAACCCAACACAGCGCCACCGAACATCCCTTGATGCAAATTCACAAAATTTTGGCTACTCCACATTTTGCATATATCCCTACATCTGTTGCAATTCATTTTTTTATACAACACTTCAAATATGGTTAATAAAAATTTAATAAAGCTCGAAATCTTTATGGATCTTCACTTGCTCAAGGAAGACAAAATAGTTTTCCAAATAACATGTCAACCAGGAATCATCAAGTTATACGTGTACTACTTTAAGTTAACTGGACGAGGTGGGTATGTTGTTCTTGATATATCAATTCTGTTGATAGAGTGATAGCCTTCCATCAAAAAGAATTAGCGGTGTTCACCTAAACCTGTGCAACAAGTGTTCATCTACCCGCCCCGTGCTACAGAATGTTCACGGCTGCCCAAATAAGTATCACAACTTACCCCCATGAAAAACTTATAAATACCGCCCTAAATTTATTAGTAAGGCATCTCAGTAGCAAGAGAGAAGAAAGATACAATATAATAATACATTGAAGAGTTTTGTGAAAAATCTTAGACGAGTATCTTATCAGAAGGTGTCTGTTTATTTTTTTCTTGTAACCACGAGAATATAAAGGAATATGCGGTCCAGGGTGAGTCTGAATTGTAGCGGTGGAGTAGCTCCGTAATGAACCACGTTATATCTTGTGAGTAATGTAATTGAATTTGTGTTACTATTTTATCTTGTAAATTCCAAGATTGTTGGTGTGTTTTGCTCTCTGTTTGAGCGTTCTTGTTGGCGTGTACCTAACAAGTGGTATCCAGAGCATAAGCTTTGGAAAACGGAATCTTTCGTCATGGTATCTAACATTGCAAGACACAGCTACGATTGAGAAATTCGCACGTTCAAAATTTAGTATGTAGATACAGATAGAAACTATTATACCAAAGGATCTCTTCCTACCCCTCCAAGAAGGATGGGAAACCTGAGAAGATGATAACTATAATGAAGATGCTCGACCGAAAGCACTTGCCACCATCCAGTCTCAACCTTCACCAGCATTGTGACTATAACGTCTCGTATGACCACTATAGGCCGTTATAAAAATTGTTTATAGGCCCTTAATACAGCCAAACCACAAAAACCGACAGAACCAAGAACAGCAACGAGTTAACGACTCGCACAGCCAAAGAACGGAATAAATCCATTCACGTGTGGAATCAAAGCTAAACGTTAAAGAATCAATCGATCATTCATCCAATGGCGGACCTCGGACAAATCACGAATTCGAGTCAAGATCAATTCGAACTCGAACTAGAAAATATATTACTGCCATACTCAGAAAACAGGTCAACGAAATCGA